TTTAAAGCCATTCTCCCTTGCCCTGTCACTCCAGGCCCTTGTCACAAGTCCCTCTCCTGTTCTCTTGGAGCCCCTTTGGGCGCTGGAAGGGGCTCCCAGGTCTCCCTGGTGCTTTCTCCTCTCCAGGCTGCACAACTCCAACTCTCCCAGCCTGTCTCCATAGCAGAGGTGCTCCAGCCCCCTGAGCATCTTTGTGGCCCTCTGGACTCTCTTCAACTGGTCCAAGTCCTTCTTATGTTTGGGGCCCCAGAGCTGAACACAGCACTCTCCAAATGCTTTAGATGTGGAGGGCACAACATGGTTGATTCCTGTATAGAAGTCGCTCACATGTTTAAAAATTACTTTCCAACTCACAATAAGCTGCCTTTGGTGACCATGAACTGAATTATTTGGTGCAAAAAAATAACAAATAGGGGAGGCCTTTGTTGACATTGTCACAAGATCAGAGTTTTTTATCAGTGAGCCCTTCCAAGCTCTGCAGGCTCCAGAGAAAAGCACAGGAACATCTGCAGCCTCCTGGGAATGAGTGAGGAGGGAGCTGCAGTGCCACCATCAGAATGTCTCTGTGGTCGATAGGTTCTGGAGTCTAAAGAGAGTGTCAGATTTTGGGGGACTCTCTGGTATCTGGTTATTATTTAAATAATACTTGGATATGAAACTAAATCCTGATAACAAGCCACAAATTAGCAATTCTGGTCCTGGCTGTATCTTCCTTTTCTGTATTGAATTTTTGTATAAATTAGAAGAGCATTTGATCCAAGCTACACTTGCTGCTTGTCTGCTTCTCACAGGCTACTCTTTTTACTGACATACCCTTGGGGATTCAAGTTAAATATGTGAAATATCAGGGTCCTGCTGCTGGAGTGGTTTGTTTGAAAGTCTCAGACTTTTGAAATCCATCCCCGAATTAGTAGAACCTACTGAAATGCTACAGATCTGTAGGGTGTGGGGGTGTTTATCCCCTCTTGGATTTAAGTGGCATTTCTTATTGATGATTGAGTGCAGGAAGTAGGAAAGTGGGGACAAGACAGAAACAGCCACAAACTGTAAGGGTGGGAGATAGACCAAGTGATGCCATTAGCAATTTATCTCATGCCAGAATTAAGAAAAGGTTTTCATAATATTTACATTTAAATACATGTATTTACCATATTTGAAAGCCAAACACTGCATTAGTTTCCTTGGTTCTTCAATCCTCAGATGTGGTCTTTGTCAGAGCCTGTTATTAAATGGTGTACAAAGTATTATCTGACTTCCTGACTGGCTGCAACAGGAGCTTTAACAATGCTGGCAACATGAAACTAAGACTAAAACTAATACCATAAGACATGAATATGTATAAAGATATTAAATTCAGTTCTGGTACGGCTTTTTTTGTGTGCTTTGAAGACTATGGTGTGGTGAAATAGAGATTTTCTTGCAACAACTTTTCAATTTGTATTTAATTGACTTTCTGTAAAATCATATGTATTTTCATGTGATTTTTTTCTCCTAAAAATCAACATGTGCATTATCTGCATTTTTCTAATAAGATGATAAATACCGTGTGTAAAATGAATAAATATAAAAATTAGACAGATAGGAACATCTGTTCATAGAAATTACTTACTTTCAGTTTGCTTATTCATTTTTTTTCATTTTACCAGGTCTGGTTCTTCAAGTCAGTTCTTTTAAAAATTGGCAGAGGGTAGAAATAGGCGACAGTATGAGAGTAACTGTTTCCTACTTACTTCTAATAAATAACAATCTTATAAATATAATATGTAAAGTGGAATAATAAGGAATTTATTCTTGTTTGCGCTAATCTGGCTGCACAGAAATAGAGATGAGATTTCTCTTCGAAAGAGATAAAACTGAAGCCGTTTCAGCCCCAAAGATGAGTGAATAAATTGCTCTGTTAGTGGGGAAAAAGAAAAATTCCCCAGTGAGTTCTTCCACACGTGGTTACACACCCGAGTCATCCAACTCCACGTGCTCAGCAGCACAAAAACAGGTGTGCTCAGGCAGCCTGGCCCCAAGCACAACCTCCCCACCCAATGTATTCATTGTCTTTCAGCAATTTAGTCCAAACAGATCCTTTTGACTCTGGAAGCCTTGTAAACAAACAGAAGTCTCTTTGGTTTCCTTGTTCACAGAGCTCTAGTTCAGCTCAGGGCGTCAGCACAGCAGAAAATTTGGATGGAATAACAACAGATTTCTCTTTTGAATTCACGGAACCTTCCCTTAATGAAATTTATTCCAACATCTCGAAAGTCACAGGCTGGGGTTGTTTACTGGCAGAAAAGGCTGCTGCCCTCAGGAAGGTTTTATTTCCATGATCTGTTGCAGTGAGAGCTTTGAGGTCTTGGCTCCTGTGGTGGAGCAGGGTGGTTAGAAAGCGTGAGAGGGAGCTGGTGAGACCCTCCAAGCATTCCTGCCCCTGGCCAGCCCCACGGGGTTCACCTTCCTGAGCAGCATTTTGAAGGAAAACTGAGGGGCAGCATTTGGAAGGAAAGAAACAGCTCATTCCTGTTCAGGAGAAAACAGTTCCTTCCTGTAGCCCTGTGTGAGGAACCACTGCAGGAGAGCAAAAGTGCTCCTTGTCACCTTTTTTTTTTTTTTTTTTAATTAATGAAATATCCACAATGAAATTAAACAAATAAATAAAATTCCCCTCCAGTGAAGCCTAAGCTGATTTTCTACCAGCTTCCCTATGCTGCCTCATAAATGCTTTCTGTTCCATAAGACACACACACATCTATGTTCCCTCTCCCTCCACCCTCCTTTGACTTTCTCCCAGCACAAACATGGAGCATCCAGGGTCTTATTCAGGTGGTGGGTAAAAATGTGAATATTGCATTGGATACCTACAAAATGAGTATATAATAAAAGAATGTGTTTATGCACATAGACAATTCCTTTGGTGTTTGCCAGGGACTGTTTCAGAGGTGCTGCAGTTGCTTCAAAGGCGTCTGTAATAGTAAGAGGGGGCAGAGGAGCAGGAAGGGATGGGGTGAAGACTCAAAGCAGGCTTCAGCTGGGAGCAAAAGTGCAGGGAAGCAGTTCAGCAAGATGGTACTCCGACCTGAAGTAAAAACCTCAGTGACATCCAAGAAAAAGGCAGTTTTCCTACCGTGAAATAATCTTTCTCAGTCTAATCCATGAACATCTTCCTGTTTGCTGTGGATAATATCCCTCAGTAAGGTGTTAATCAAAAGAGATCTTACTAAAACCCAGCCTTTTGACGTGTTTATTTTTGTTGAGTATTCTGCTTTATTAACTAACCAAAGAGAAATCAGAGGAAGCATGCACCCTGCAGGGCCATATATATGTTATGTTATAAAAAGGTTTTTTATAGAAGGGTTAGAAACCTTTTGTTTCTGATTGTTGGTTATTTGGAAGCTATATGTAGAACCTCTAGAAATAAAGGGGATGATTATGTTTTATAGGCAAGAAGGGATTAATAAAACTCATAATGCTCAAAGAAACAGCTGTTTCTCTGTTCTGTAGTGCTTCTAAACCCTCATCTAATGCTGAGTGAGTCAGCTGGGAGACGCCACTAGTGTTAAAAAAGAATTAAATGGAAAAGTAGTGGTTATTATTTGAAAACAATTATTCTCTAATTGTGCTTTGAGGAGAGGAAAAGAAGAAAGAAAACTGCTGGTAAAATAATTTATAATTGGAACAAAGTACAGATTAGGAAGAAAAGATCTTTTAAAATAAAGACTTCCTAATCCATAAGCAGAGATGAAGAGACAGCAATAACAGCTTTTATTAGTGTGTTTTTAAAAGGCTGCATCACTCACAAGTGGCGTTGATGCAAACGAGGGGAGTCGGGCTTTCTCCTGGGGCTGCCGGCAGGGCAGGGCAGGGAACTCCCCCCGCATTCCCGGCTCTGCTGTTCCTCGGAGCCGGGCACGGCGTCTCCTCAGCCCTTCTCCTCGCCCATCCCAGCCTTCCCTCTGTTTTTTTAGCTTGGCCCGGGGTGGGTTGAAGTGTCGAGGAGTCAAAGCAGAGGCTCTTTTGATGCACAACGTGTGCGGTGTGTGGCTTCAACCTCAGTGGTTATGGTAGGAAACAGTTCACTGGCATTTCTGTGCCTTTCTTTTTCTTTTCTTTTTTTTCCTGCTGCCTGGAACATCCATGTGATTTTGCTGTCTGACTGGCAGAGGGAGAAAATAGAGCTTGTCCATTATGCACTTTCCATTAGAAGTGTATATATTTAATAGCTATGGTTTGCAGTGACCTTAAGCCACATGATGTAATCCTTTATTCAATTTTTAATAAAGGCAGAATTCCCATCAAGTTTGAGGGTTGTCAGTGTGAAAGAGATGTTGAGATTTATCCAGTAGATTATAAAATATTCTATCCTGGTGCCTTACCTTCTTTCAATAATGTATTTTAATGGCATCTCTGGAAATGCAGGAATACTCTTTGATTTGATAATTAATGGGCTTTTCCATTAGTCTTTGTGAAGATCTTTGATCCCATAAAGACCTCTAGATTTACAAATGGTATCTTCATAAATATATCCAGCATGACTACTTTTACTCCTTGTCCTTTTGTTTAGTTTTTGTTTCATTTAATCTTACTTTTCCATTATACCACTCTGGTCTTTGTTCAAGCCAAACCTAAACCATGACAATAAAGGCAGACAAATCTCTACTCCTAAGTTTTCTAGGGAGTTGGCATTCAGGACCTCAAAAAAGAGGAGGGAGAAAGAACCCAGTAAAAGACACAAACAGCAGTTCCATCAGCAACCGGAGAGCCAGAGGAAGCACTGGGAAAGAAATGATTGCTTCATTTTCCATTTTCCATTTTTTCCCTTTTCAGTTACCTGTAAAAACTTGCCAGAAACTAGATTTCGTTTCTGGATGAAGAACCTGACACGTTTTGTGTAATTGCAGGTTGTGTTAAATGTGTGATAAGATAATGAGACAGTGGTAAATGAGACAGATACTGGGTTTCCCTTTTTTCCTCAGTGGTCACTGTCTCTCTCTATTTTATCTCAATTTTTTTAGACAGTGCTGCAACGTGCTACACTTCCCAAAGTTCACTCTGGAAGAGGTTGAAAATAAATGAAGAAGACCTTCTTGAGGCCAAAGAAAAGTAATTTATTAGTCCTTAAGGCTGAAGCATATAAATTTGGAAGGCCTTCGAGGGGCTAAAGAAAATAAATTAAACCTAAAAAGATGCTACTTCAGGGACAAAGATTTATCATGTGGAGGCATATGAGGACTAAACTCATATTCTGAAGTTTCATAAGGGAGGCTCTTTGTTTCTTCCCTGAAAAACCCATTAGCTTCAAAAATACCAAGCCCACTCCAAGATTCAAAGTACCTGATGTTTCCTCGCTCCTGGAATAAATTACTGTCCCCTCTTTCTGTGAAATTAGGCTGCTCTGACACTTCTTTTACAGAATATTTTGCATAGAAAAAGTAAATTGTGCTGTTCCAGCTCTAAAACTGGTGGATCTGATTTATCATACATTCCCTCTAGCACACTACAGGAGCATTCTGGGGCATATGGTGCAGATGTCCTTGTGTCACCAGAAAAACAGGGAGTTTAGTTAATTTTGTGGCATAAATGGCTCTTTGTGAGCCCAATGCATGTGATTTGTTTTGGAGCAGGAGCTGGAAACCAATCCTTGTAGCCAACAGTTCTGTGTGTGCTCCTGGGCTGGGCAGGCTGGCAGCAGAGGAGACAGAGATCTGGTGGGATGCAGAGAACTTTGTGCCTGACCTTTCCTGCTATCCCTCTTTCAAACCCAGCGTGGAGTCAGGGGGCTGGAGGGATTCTGCAGAGCACAGTTTTCGGTGTTATATCTGTCCCAAGGCTTTTACATTCCATGATGTTGCTGTAGCAATAGAGGTGTTGATTTTAGAACAAAGCTTTGCTTGTTATTTGGGATATTTCTTCACTGACAGGCTCCCCGTGGTTTGATAGAAGAGAATTTTCTCTAGAGTTTTCTGTTTTCCTAAAGAAAATTTTATTTCTACGGTATTTAGTTTGTTGATGGTTGCACTTCAGCATGGTTGACTTTTTTTCCTCTTTTTTAACCTATTTTCTGGAGGGAAGAAAAAAAATCAGCCCCAAACCATCTGCCAAATTCCAGAAAATTCTGTAATCCAGAGGATGTTTCACTTAGTGTGATGGAGAGAGAGAGTCACCAGGCTCGTGCTGGGTTTGTAAAGTGTCCCCAGCTCCTTCCTCTTCACCCTGGGGAGCTGCATTCCCTCTGTTGGATGATCAGAGGAGCTCCAGCTCCAAGAGGTTGGCCAAACTGCTCTGGTGTTTCTAACAGTTACTCAAAGGAGAGGCAAAACCAAGTTAAAACTACCAGCCCTGGATCAAACAGTTCAGCATTTACTTTGGTTGACCTTCCAGTGTGTTCAGTGGGCTCTGTGAGACACGGCAGCCCCAAGAACACGCCTGGGGGGAAAGTCAGAACTCTGCTTTGCAGTTTTGCCTCTGGCTGACAGCTGTAAAAAGTGTTAACTAATGAAGTGTTCTAAATGGGTAAATAACAAAGAAAAAAAAATAGAAAACTAAAGACAGCTGCCCATGAAGAACAGAGCTTTCTACATGCAGAATTCAGTTTCTTTTCATACTTTGACATTGATTCCCTGGTCATCCTATAAACCAGCTTATGAGTTCAGAGCAGTAGGCAGCAAAAAATCCTCATTAAGTCCCTCATACTCCTGTTGTTTTTCTTCTGATCTCAAGTTTTCCTCTCCCACAGTGACATGTGCTGTCAGTACCTGGAGGGAACAGAATTTAAGATGTTATACTGAAAGTTTTACCTTTACTGATGTACAGATCAGGGCTTCTAAAACTACTAAAAATCAGAGAGGGAAGCCATATCTGTGGAACTAGCCCTGGCTGGTTTCTCTGTAGACTGAATCCGTAATGCCACTGGTGGTTCTCCAACAACTGGAGAGCATCCTGCACCAAGGCACGACCTCCTCCAGAGCCTCGTTTGCTCTCTCCTCCAGCTTCAGAGATCCTTCTCCATGCCCTCTGTAACATCTAATAAGAAGGGCCAGAAATATTCCAGGGAACTGAAACATTGCAGTAGCTTGGGATTTGTGGACCTTGTTGTTTGCCAGGCTCTGACATTGTATTTAGTGTGGTGTGAGCAAGAGAAGAAATGTCCCTGTGACCAGAGACTGTTAAGTCATGAAGGTGACAGAGGCCTGGCAGGACTTGTAGGTGTCCTACCTTGGTGCTGAAGGGATCAGAGGCAGCAGAAAAACCCAGAAAAGTGAGGTTTTCCCTCACAATGTCATCCAGAATAATTGTGTTGCCATAGCGATGGATAATTAAGCAAAGCTCTCTCCCTTCCAATATGTCACTTTCTTGCCTGAAGGAATTTTGTATTATTTTTTCAGGTGATATCAATTAGATTCAGCTTGAGTTATGAGATGTTATGTAAGGGAGTATTCCCTACTCCAATGGTACACTAGAGTTTGGTTCCCTCAAATATTTAATTTGGCCTACAGGGCAATCCAGGAATACTGCAGGCCAAGGCAATGGTTTGGTTTTGTGAGTTGCCAGCAAGAGAAAACATGTTTGTGATCAAAAAAGTATTGTAGCCTAACAGTGGGATTTTATTCTGTTCCAGAGATGCATACAGAGGTGTAATGGGTGAAGTATTCCCACTTAATATTTTCCATGTAGTCACAGAAAGGGAAGAAATCTCCACATGGCCATTCCATTCCTCAGTTGCAGATATGGAAGGTACACCTGGAGTTTTAATTCTAAGGCAGCACCGTGTAGCCCAGGCAGAGGGGAAGCAGAACAGGAATGCAGCTGGTACAGCTGCTCCAAGCACCCCTTTCTCCAGCCTGAGCCACCCTCCATCCTGTTCTGCTCCTGGGGAACACGAAGGTTCTGAAGAAGGTTTTGTACTCCCCAAGATCCATGACATGCTTCTTGAAACAGCTGCCATGTCCATTTCTGACATTTGCTGAAATAAGACACTTAAGTTTCCAGTTTCTCATTTTTGTGACTCTGCGCTCATCCTGGGCTCTGAAAGTCAAGCTGGATTTTTCCTGGTTTGCATACTGTTCCTGCTAGTAATGATGAATTATTCAGTGGGAGCTAAATGAAGGAGCCTATTGATGAGTGCAAATCAGAAATTAGTGTAGTTAACTTTCCAGGAGCTATATTGCCCAGAAGAATTGTTTGATATGGAACAGACCTGGCCAAAAACTGTTGTGCTGAGGAAACTTTGTGATTTGCTCAAAACTAGATTTCAAAAATATTTTAGTGGATGAGATGCTTTTGCCTGGTTCCATTTCTGAAAGGATTTGCAGTATTAAGATAGATATCTCTTGCCATAAAAGTCAGGCATTCCTCAGCCTGTGGAATAAAGTTGCACTGAAATAACTCAGTAGCTTGGTTTGACTCATTAAAAAGTGATGACCAGTGCAGCCACTGAGTCTTGTGATTTGTGACTGTGCAGAGCCCCACCAGAATAAGTGTCTGTGCACAGTGGTGCAACCCACTGCAGTGGCACAAGGCTTTGGATTTCCAGACAGAGCCAGGAATGTTGCAGCAATAGGATTAATAATAGTCCAAATGAATCTTGGCCAGAAGAGCAGGTTGTTCCTGCTGCGAAGAGCGCCCAGAGCTTTCCACTACATCTCCTTGTAGTGACAACAGCTATTAGACATGCAGTGCCACATTTCAAAATCCAGCAACAACACTTCCATCTGAAATTCCTCAAATACTGACTGGGTGATTTAAAACCTAATGTTTTTTTCTCTGTCTTGCAAACTCTTGCTAATGCTGACTTTCTTCTGCGTGCCCAGTTGATTTATATGCACAGACACAGCCATGTGGAAAGGGAACTCTTTTTTTCAAATGGAAAATAAGACTAAATATATTCTTTCTGGTTTTCTGATAAGACCATTAGCAAAAGCTACAGCTCAGAAAAAAGCCTTTCCTAGTTTTTCTTTCATGAATCATGCCTTAACATTTGTCAGATCTGTGTGTGGATTTAAGAATTAGGACACCTGTAGTCAGACCCAATGTTATTTACTGGTTTAAGGCAATAAGTATTGGAGGGGTTTCGTATATTCTCTGTCTGAAAAATGTAGCGCAAATATCTTCATCTGTTGCTATTTGTTTGTTGAACACAAACAGTTTGGCTTCCCCCCAGCCTTTTATTTATTACCAAAAAAAAAGCATTTAGCCACAGAACAGAAAAAATCATTTAAAATTCATTTCCTCTCCAGAAAAAAGCAGATGTACAGTTATGAACTAGTAACCTATAGGGCAAAATGAACTTTTGCCTTGTAAGAGAAGATCCCTGCTGTCATTCCTCCCTCTTTCCCTTGATGTGTTCAATACTTTCCGGGGATGCACATTGTAAAACCTACAGAAGATCAAATCTCTCCCGGATTTGGTTTTATTACATAAAGGCAGTGCATTCAAGTAATTTGTGTCATGCTGCTACCCTGCACTCACTTGGCATAATCTGCTCCAGAAGGCATTAACAAAAGCACAAGTGTGACATCTATTGACGGCCTAGGACTCGGAGCTGGCAGGGCACAGCAGCCTGTTTGCTGCAGCAGGAGCAGGGGAAGGGCTCTCAGAGCCACTCTGCTGCAGGGCTCATCTCAGAGCAGTGGTAAAGCAGAGGTTTGCAGCAGAAGGCTAATGTTGGGTTTGAGTTGCACGTGTTTTTCGCGTTCAATTTAACCCGGGTCTTGCTCAAATTTCTAAAAGAATAATCCGTCTGAGAGTACGAGACACAAAAGATACCAGAAAACCCTTGAGCTGCAGGAGCACAGCAGGGAAGTAATGCTTTGTGCTTCTGGTGCCCATATGCTCTTCCCCAGCCATTGGCTATTGTCTAATGATTAATGCATCCATCCCTGGAGGTCGGTGCTTACAAATGTGTGTTAGCCCTGGAAATACCACAGTTATCCGAGTTGGAGCAACCTGAGGAACCATCTCTGCTGTAATGAGCCATCTGCAGCTCTGCTGTGTGCTGGCCACTGGCCAAATGAGGATATTGGGCAAAACCAGACCTTCCTTCTACCCTGCTGCAGCTGGTCTTGTGTTTAAGCTGAGCTGTAGGAGCGAACAGT